TTACTTTCAACGTCATCGCCAGATGTAGTGCCTGGAGAATCCATGTTTGCTGTTGGCTGCCGAATCTGTGACAGTAATGAAGCTAAAAAGATTTCAATAAAAAGTTTCACTAAATGTGGCGCAAAAAAACCAACCACGATTTTTAAAAATTAGCGAAACAAAAATTAAATGTTTACTTCTTTTATATTCTTTCCTGTGATAGTACGCAGCGACTGGTAGGGGAATAATAAATTTCCGGGCAGCAGCGCTCGCTCCGTGAATATTTGCGTAATCCGCAACAGCCTTCTTCTCTGCGGGCGAACAGTACTTAGATTTACGACCGCCAGAAGTGGGAGGAGGATAGCCTGAAATTTCCAGGTAGACGCAACAGAAAAAGCAATGTAATGTAAAAACGTACTGTTTGCTGTAGGGGTTCCATTAAATGCCTTGTGCACAGGGAAACTGAACCCTAGAGCATTTGCTAAACTTGCGAGATTCGGTTGAGCAATTGTTCCCATACCAGACTGAGAAAGGACGTGTTGCAACCAAGTTTCGCATTCCTTCATAGTTGGAGCATTCGTTATTGTAGTAGCATTACTGCTTGGAGTGTTAATTGTCTGTGTAACAGGTGTCTAAAAAAGAGGCTACTAAGATCTACAAACAACAACACACATTCTATTATGAGCGACAAAATTGTTTATGCAAAAATCGAAAACCAAAAACGTTACATTGCATAAAGAAACTACATCACCTCGACAGGGACAGGAACAACAGGCTTTTGTTGAGCCATGTTGGATTGGTTCTTAACTTCAGGTCGGGAATCACTTTTTGCCTCGGTTGCTTTTGCCGGCTCCTGTTTTGCTGGGAGTTTTAATGACGGTGATGATTCCAACGTTGCTTCTTTCAGTTTTGTAAATAGCTCAAACTGATTTTGATATATCGGCTTACAAATATCACATTTACACGCAGGAACATGCAACGCATTCATCAACAGAGTAATCTGAATATTAAAAAAAAGAGGCTAAAGGTCAGCTAACCTAAGAAAAGTTTTATTTATCATACAAAAAAAAAATGGGAGATGTGCGAAGGAGTTGGACTTTTCTTTTACTCTGAATGTACAGAGCGTGTAAATGCAGAAAATATGACCGAAGAGTGAAGAAGAAGAGCTTAAAAAGGAAAGTATAATACATTTAAATAAGTGGTTAAAAGTGGTTAAGTGGTATACGTAACCTGACAGTACCTGATGCTGTAAATATATCATGTTATGCTTCAACTCGACAACTTCCTGGTTTGATGACAACGATTTCTGTGGTGTATCACTGGTAGTTTGCTGAGTTGACTGCTCAAACTGTTCCTCTTCGTCGATTTCTTCGTCATCTTCATCAACAACTTCGTCTTCATCTTCTTCATCCCTAAAAGACAGGAGTTCCTTTAACAAACAAACTTCTGTAAAAAACGATTCTTCTGATTATAATTACAGAAAACCCGAATGCGCGCACACCACAAAAACACACACATTACAAAGAAAAGATTTCTAAAATAAACATAACAAATACGAATCTAAAAAAACAGCCACGTCAACTGTTTAAAAAGTTGAAGGAATTGAACAAATTAATTTAAAAAATATACATACCGTTATACAAAATTACGCCATGTTTAGTCAGCGTTAAAAAAGAAAGTATTTTTGCCTGAACTCATATCAACTGAATTGCGTGTCTTAATATTACATCAAAAGCTTCGCAAACTACAGATTCTTATGCCCTTATCCAATGGTCATCTAACAGTGAAATGGTTTTCAGGAGTTTTTGCTATTGTTGTCTACTATAAACCGTAAACAGTAGTGATGACACTGTTTAAATGACTACATCTAAATGAATATATGAATATAAATACATGTAA